TTTCATTGCACATTTTGCCAGCTTGAAAAAATCTTGTTTGGAGAAACTCGGGCAACTGATGGATGAGTACAAGGAAGATATTAAGCAGTTTTATTTTTTGGATACATTGGATTTGTTTAAAAGAGCCATCGTTCATCCGAATGCGCATGGTTCCAATTCCTTGAAAAAGGTTCTTCCTGCACTTTGTCCAGACTTTCAGTACGGCGTCTTTGGTGAGGAAGTAAGTGGAGATGATATTGACGCAGCGGACATGGATGGCGGTAATGGTGGTAGGCAAGATGAGCAGAAGGGCGAAAACGCTATGGGTGTGTATCGCCTGTGGTATCACCACGAGGGTGGGGGTTCGCTTAAGGATCTTCATCAAGTTTCCATGAGAGATTCTCAACGTCGAAGTGCGAAGGGTAAATCTGAGCACGCGGGGAGCACGGAACTGGTCTTACCGCCAGCTCGGCAAGACTTTCGAGAGAAGGCGTGGGCGCTATTGCGGATTCAACTTTTAGAGTACTGCTCACTTGACACCAAGGCCTTGTATGAAATCATGCGGCAGGTGTGGCGTGAGAAGGAGTCGGTGAAGGGAATCAAGCCGGACAAGGGCGGCTGGGTCATGGCAACCCCGCTCTCTCGGGAGTTTGAATTGTGATTGTCTGACAGGCGCAATAAGAATTGAATTGAATGGAGAAAAGGGGAGGCACGAGGGGAGATGAAAATGGCGTGGCGCAAAGGGGGCGGGGGAAGAAAGAAGAGTTGGGGTAAAAAATGGCGGTAATTCCCGATTACACAGGTTATACAACGAACACAATAATAGGTGAAGATTACGAGTGCCGTGCGCATTGGGAAGGTTAGGAGGGTAACAGGGGGAGAAAGAGAGATGGCAGGAATGTCACTTTTCCCATCCTTTTTCTTTCTTGTTTATTCTTCAATGACATCCGCGTGTCTTTAGCCATTGTTGTTGCTTGTGTTTTTGCCTGTTTCCTTTCGCAGACACGCACGTTTGAGTCGGGATGGGAGCCATGCGTCCGGCCCTCGCATTACTTTTTTTTTTATGGTTCTAAATTTCTCGGTCATACGCGAGAGTATTCGCCTTGCTTTGTTGTGTCACTTCTCTCGACGGGTAAAATTGAGGGATAAGAAGAGGAACCGAGAATAGAGGCGAAAGGGAAAGCAAAATGACGGTGATTGTTATGTGCGACGGGGCGCCAGCCTCCATCAAGGCGATTGGGTGGGCGGCTGTTCCGGGGCATCTGATGCGGCAGCATGACGGCGAACAGCTTATCCTTTTGCACGGGTGGAGCAGGGAAGAGGTGCCGCGGGTTGCATCGTCCAGGGAGTCGCCCGATAGGCTGGCATCAGTTGACATATCGCCGGCGCAGAACCGTCTCCCGGTTTCGGATGTCATGAGGAACACGCTTGAGGCCATCACCGAGAGTAAAGTCACTCGTGACTCTCTCAACTACAAAATAGAAACAGTGGTATTGAGTGATCTATTTACGCCCATGTCGACGACACCAGCTGCCACACGTCCACAAAGCTCCAAAAAGTCACCCTTGTCGAAAAAGGAGTTGGCGGCGCAGCAGCAACAGCAGCAAGCTGCGGCAGTATTTACAGAGGCAGAGCTGGAGGCTGCTGCACGAGTGGCGGAAAAGGAAGCGGCGCAAAGCCGAGCCAAAGCCATTGCTTTATACGCAAGAGAACGGGCGCTTCACCACAAGGCCGAAGCTATTTTGTTGGGGACGGGCAATTCCATGGACGGAAAGAACATTATTCTTGGCCTTGTCGCCAAGACGGTCTTTACTGAAATGCGTCAAACGCACGTTTTGTGGTTTATAAAGAACAATGGCTGTACAATGCGACTCAATACCGCATTGGTGCGCTACGTTGTTGTGCTGGTTCCAGTATCCAATGATGCGGGGGCGCTTGAGAGAGATTGCCGTGTGGTGCAATACGCATTGGGGCGTCGAAGGGAAAAGAGCATGGATACTGTGAGTGCTGTTATTGTTGTTGAGAGTGCCACTCCACCAAAGGAGGTTGAGCGGTATTCGCAGGCGTTGCGAGATCTGCTTCAGAGAGAAGCGCCGGCAACGAATTCCCGTATTATTGAAGAAGCAGCTGACGATGCTACTCCTGCTTTCGCCGTGACGGATGCTCCAATTGCGCTGGAGAAAAGTGGGACTGTGACTGCTGAGGGAACGCCTCAGGAGGCCGCGCTGGATGATGGGGAGGTTTTGCCTTCTGCGGAAGAAGCGGACATCGCAGCGAAGGAGCAGCAATGGCCAGAGGTTTCTTTGTGCCAATTGCGTGCCACCAAGCAGGTACCAGAGCCAACAGCAGGAAATGCGGCGGGTCAAGTTGTAAAATTTCTCCAGCGCTACAAGACGGACGTCGTTGTGTCCCCCTCAACTCTTGCAGAAGAACTTCAAATGGCCTTACTTGCCGTGTCGAAACCCCATGCTCTTTTCGTGCCAGCGGCCGAACCGGCTCCATGTGCTGCTGCCACCATGCCGCCCCCTGTAGTGGAACATGAATGTACAGAGTGAGTGCCGCAGCGGCACCTTTTGGGTTTGCGTGTGTTTGGGTGGTGTTCATGGAGTTCCAGTTGATAGGGATCATCATGATCTATCTTCTTGGTGGCAGGAGGAGCGAGGGAGGGAAAACAAAAAAAAAACAAAAAAAAGCCAATGAGGGGAAAACACAACTCCCTTTTCGCTTTGATTTTATCATCATCATGCTTTTTTTTTCTTTTTGTGTGTGTTATGGGTTGACGTTTGGCTCTCATTATTATTATTATTATTATTATTATTATTGCATTTGTTTATATGTTTTTTTCTTCTGCGTTTTCTCTTCTTCTTTCCCTGTGGTGAAGTTAATTATATATGGCGGAACAGGTGATAGTTGAGCAGAGGAAGGGGATGCCGGCGACGTGTTTAGTATCCTCGGAAATTTCATCCCCCCTGCTAGCACCTGAAGACGCCCCAGTCAATGGCGGCCGTGCGCCCCTCTCAGCTGCTGTTGTAAATCTTCACAAGACAAATCAGGCCGTGGCACCAGTCTCAGTGGTCCCGCTACGGTGGCGGGCCAGCAGCCACGTGCGACCACAGCAGGATGCTGAAGCGGAGTGCGAGGAGCCCGACGCGGACAGATCGCACCTTACTGTTGTAACGCAGCGTGGCCCCATTCACAAGGCGAGCGGTGACTGCTACAAGCAAGTCTCGCCGTCCGTAGGTGCTGTTTGGCCAAATATGTCAGCGAGAGTCACGGGCCCATACTTCTCTGGAGGTAAAAGTGAGAACGCGGGGCGCCCAGGCACTAATGCCGCTCTGTCACAAAGATCGTGTTCTTTAAGCAAACCCCGAATCGATAATACTTTGCAACGACCGAATGAAAGATCATCAAGTGAGGCACAAAATGGTGATAGGGTCTCTGCTAGACGTAAGTTACGGCGCCGCCACAGCAGTAATGCGCAAGGCAACAATAACACGAACAACCTTGCAAAATTGGACGTGGGCACGGAGAATAAGCCGAACTCTTCTCCCCCTGGTGCTGTTGATGGTGTCCGTTCAGCCGCTGGCCTCAACGGTTCCGTGATACCGGTGCGTCTGACAGATCTGGAGCGGCCTGTAGCGAAGCAGGGGCAAGTGAGTGTCCGATCCAAGCAGAGCGGTGCAAAAAGTGCACGAATTCGGCAGAAAATAGTCAATCTTTTTTTGTGCAAATATTCACTTCTTCGTGTCATTGCTGAGGAGCAAGGGTTTAAGACGCAGGAAACAGAGGAGGAATTGGAGAAAAATCAATTCAATCTCATATGGTCTGATACAGTGCTCCCTCTTACGCGTCTGGTCCGTATGGCAAGCTGGCAGCGTACAAATCACTTCCCCTCGATGTATCTGCTCTGCCGCAAAGGGCACCTGGGCATTACACTCGGTAAGATGCGCAAGTTGTTGCCCTCACACTTTCTCTTCTACCCGAGGACATGGTCACTTCGTAGCGATCGACATCAGTTTTCTCGTTTCATGATGGCGTTACGAGCCAAGAGGGTGTCCAAGTTTTTTATTCTAAAACCAAATTCCGGCTGTCAAGGCCGTGGTATTGTTATTTCTAGAGATCCATTAAACGCTGTGGAGGACTTGGATAACTACATTGTGCAGGAGTACGTTACCAGGCCACTTTTGCTGGAGGGGCGTAAATTTGATCTTCGTGTATACGTGTTATTAACTTCCATTCGCGCCCCCTCCATATTTATGTTTAAAGACGGACTTGTGAGATTGTGTGCCGAGTTGTACGAAAAGCCGACGGACAGTAATGCTCGTAACGCGTGTAAACATCTGACAAACTATGCCGTGAACAAGCACAGTCCAGAGTATGTGTTTAACGATGATGTTGCAAATGGAAATGTTGGCAACAAGCGGAACTTTAAATTTTTAAATGAATGGTTAGAGTCATCGGGAAAGCGCCCAGAGGACTTTTGGGAGACAAGTTGCTCATCTCCAATTTGCAAAACCC